CACCCAGGGTATATCGTACATCTCATTAACGTACACTCTCGGAAATCACGCAAACTGTATGATTTGCGTGATTTCGGGTTTCGAAACCCGGGAAATCACGCAAGGATCCACCCGGGTTTCCCGTGAATCATCTCTCCTTAACGTACACTGTAACGGCACCCTCGTACATCGTACACATTCATCAAGGGTATAATACCCTTGATGAACGTACTTAGCAGGACTACTGAGCCTTGCCATGACACCGTTACAAAGATACACGAAACGGTGAGGGCGCGGCGAGAAATGATGTATCCAACGGAGCGGTGATTACTGTCATCATTATCAATTACAATATAAGCATCCACCTTTGCATACCGGCTATTCCAACAACGGCGATATATTACTAGAACATATCGCGGTCGGAAATGGGAAATTCAAAACAAATTTTTATTCATAAGATGCGCCAACATATATTCTTCCGACACTCAAATCTACTCAACCACAACAAGTAACAAAATATGAAAACCACACAAACAACCTAATCTCTATGATGGCGATTCTTCTTATTCTTTTTACTAGCCGAAGCAGCTATAGCCGCCACTCCACCAACCACCAGTGCTCCCGTTACAAATCCCAACACGCCAGCTGCGAAACCATCATCTAAGCAGTTAAATAAATAATGATAGATCATCCATGAAAAACGTAAAAATTCTGAGGAATTTTCGGCAAACTCTTCGTTGTTTTTCTGTACACTTCTACCCGAGCTCCCAGACAGTCTTGCCGAGCTCAGGAAGCAAACATATGTTCTCCAACACTGCCCATAAGACTTTCCATTTCCGAACACATCCATTTCGCCATTTCAAAATTTCGACTCCTCGAGTCGAGCGAATTCGTGCGTAATAATACCCACATAGAAACTTCAATTTCGACGAAATTTTTGAATTTCGAACGGACAACGAGTGTAAAGAGCGTATTTTTTTTCTCAGACACATTCAAAAAATCTGTGTTTCTCGTTGACGAATGAGAGTTTTGAGCTGAAACTTCACCAGAACATAGATATGATGATTAGCTATTATACATTCCACTTCGCACGACTCGTAATGTCGTGTTACTACCCCTTCAGATGACCACTATTTTTCACCATAAGAATATAAAAATACCCTCGTGATTTTTCTCACGCGCCTAGAGAGTATCCTGTTTTATGATAACGTTTGTTTTCCGAAGAAAAAAAATATCAGTTGGAGTATTATGTATACGCAAAACTAACGATGATTTTTCATGATATATGGAATGTTATCTATCATAATATATATGTTGAATACTATTCTCACCTTTAACACAGCTAGCAGTAGCCTGTTCATCATTTTCGATGCCTCCTGGGAAATGTGGCATGTTCACATTAGGACAACAATTATCATCTAAAGCGTGCAGTATGGGAAGGGCACATGGAGAACTACATGTGTTGGTGGGGACAATATGAAAACTCTAAGAATTTATTATTGAACACTTCTACTAGAATTCGCATGTCAACTTCATGCGCTCTAACAGTGAAAGAAAGCGAGCTTATATTCTAACACTGTAAACGTGTAATTCGTGTTTTAATATACGATTGTCTACCTCCAGTTGCGACATCGGATAGGGCATAGTTGGTGGTCACTTTGTCTAGAGTGCACTCCTTACGGCAGAATCTGACATATAACGGACCTAATTTGTATCTTGCACGGTCAACCTCAAGATACGCTTAGATACTTACGGACATTCAAAACTCCACTTCGACCAGGACTGTGTTATTCGCTTCAAACACGATACACATAACGTGTGGCCGCAACTGGACAGAACCTGACCTAATCTGTATCTTGCGTAGTTGAACCTAAGATACCTTAGGCACATGCGCTCTACCAT